CGATAAGTTTTTACATCCCCACCCACCAGTTAGTGCTCTAATGTGAATTCTTCTGGAATAGAGGCGAGCATGTGCATGAGACCTTGGTGGTGAAGGGACAGGTAAAATAAATATCCAATTAATACCTGACTTCTTCCGTAACAGCTTAATAAGGCGTGCAATCTCATAACATTTTATATGATTGTAGTACAATCCGATTATGCAGTTTTGTAATTATATGACTGAGAATCGTGATGAAGAGGGACAAAATTTAAATAAATAAAAAAAGAGATACTTAAAATATTTGATAGAATGAATAAACAAATAATAAATAAACAAAAGATAAAGAGAAACATTAAACAAAAAAAAATAGAGAAGTGTGTACATGCACGTGATCGTACTAATTAATATTTGTTCCTGGTAATCTCAGTAAGCATGGATGGTGGTCCGGACAAGGGAAGAATTTATTAAATGTATTTTGGTTCGCTTAATTAGAAAAGGTTAACACATGTCACTGACAGTTCCATTAATTTATGACGTACCATGTGAAGGTGAATATCTCGGTATACTACCCATTTACACGGTTATATGGATCTTTCAAAATTTTAGGTTAAATGTACGTATAAAGGTGTGATTTGTTATTTTATTATCATAAATAAGTCTTATTTATCTTTTATTTAAATTTTTTATCAAATATGTTCCTACCGTTATACATTAGGTGCGTATATATACCTTACACGTTAAAAACACCCTCTCAACTTTTAAAAGCCAAGTGGCATCTCCTTATTGGACCAACTGACACGCCCTATTTTTTATTTCAAACCCACCCGATCCAACCTCTTAAGCTACACCCATCGATAAAAAAACCTTTTTTTCTTCTCACTATCTCCTTCTCTCTCTATCTCTAACATAAAGAAACCAAAATCTAGGATTTACCGAGAGAATCTGGCTGGATAACTCCCTCTCAAATGAAAAAGAACTAGGATTCACTTGGAGAAAAACAAACGTCAATTGTAAAGTCTTTCTCACCCACTTGCTTTCTTCTTAACTTCATACATTGGGTTATGAAGGTTTTCCACTATATCAATTTTTGTCATGTAAGAAAGTAGTTCTTCATCAAGGAGGAGGTGCCATTGTGGGAAAATTGCCAACCACTTCACTTCAACGACTCCATATAATCCCGAAAGGAGATTCTTTAAGTGTCCTAAACCTGATGTATGTATTATTTCTTTATTCTATACAAACTTGTTCAAAGACTCAAAACACTAGAAACAACATCAAAATCAAGGATTACACATCAAACCAAAAATCTCGAACTTGTTAAGTTTAAAATTTCAAGTTTCGACCGGAAGTACCAAAACTACCTCTAGCTACCGAGACCCGAACCAAATATATGTACAAGTTCAAAAATATCATACAAACCTATTGAAACCCTAAAAATATCAATTCTAGGTCATTTACCCACATTATTGACTTTGGTCAACTTTTCCAACCTTAAATCTCAACTTATGAACTAAGTGTTTCAAATCACTCGTGAACCTGTCGAAAACCATACCACCCATCTTCATAAGTCATAAATCATCAAATCAAGCTACGAAAAGTCTCAAATAGGGAAAAAGGACTGTAGAACTCAAAACGACAAGTCAAGTCGTTACAGCCTACTCCGACTAATAATTATCTCTATCAGGGTTTTTTGGAGTTGTATTATCAAAAATAAATACCATACAAATAATATTGGCCTGAGTGATGCGTTGTTATTCATTATCTGTAATATTATTTTTGCAATTACACTTATAATAATATTGTGTTTGCTATTTTCATAAGGGGTATCAGCCCGACTGGATTTTTCAATTGAAGTCTTTACGTGTTACGAACAAACGTAAAATGTTGAGACTTTTTCTAGTTTTGGAGGGACGAATCAGTTTGGGACATCCACGAGACTACTACTAAACCCATGTCTATTTTTAGTATTCATAAAGCCATCCACCTTGTTAGGATATTGATGGAGCAGTATAGAAGGAGAAAGAAGGACTTGCATATGGTGTTCATCGACTTAGAAAAGGTGTACGATAAAGTTTTGAGAGAGGTTTTATGGAGATGTTTGGAGGCTAGATGTGTATCTGTTGCCTACGTTAGGTTGATTAAGGACATGTATTATGGAGTAAAGACCCGAGTGAGGACGGTGGTGGAGACTCAGACCATTTTCCGATTATGATGGGGTTGCATCAGGGATTGGCACTCAGCCCTTTTTTGTTTGCTCTGATGATGGACAGACTGACGCGCCACATCCATGGGAAGGTGTTGTGGTGCATGCTATTTGCAGATGATATTGTATTGATTGACGAGATGCGAGACGATGTGAACGCACAATTAGAGGTATGGAGGCAGACCCTGGAATATAACAGTTTTAAGTTGAGCAGGATCAAGACAGAATACTTGGAGTGTAAGTTCAGTGGCGAGACTCAAGGAGGGGAAGGGGAGGTGAGGCTGGACTCGCAGGTCATCCCTGGGAGAGAGAGTTTTAAGTACCTTAGATATATTATTCAGGGGGATGGGGAGATTGATGAAGATGTCACACATTGTATTGGGGTGGGATGGATGACATAAAGACTCTCTTCCGGTGTTTTGTATGACAAGAAGGTGCCACCGAAACTTAAGGGTAAGCTCTACAAAGTGGTGGTCAGACCAACGATATTGTATGGGGTTGAGTGTTTGCTAGTCAAGATCGCTCATGTCTAGAAGATGAAGGTAGCGGAGATGGGGATGTTGAGATAGATGTGCGGTAACACCAGGTTAGATAGGATTAAAAAAACGTTATTCGTGATAAGGTGGGTGTGGCCCCTATTGAGGACAAGATGAGGGAAGCACGGCTTAAGTGGTTTGGTCATGTGAGGAAGAGGTGCACAGACGTCCAAGTGAGGAGGTGTGAGATGTTGACATTAGAGGGCCTACGAAGAGGTTGAGGTAGGCCAAAGAAGATGTGGGGAGAGGTGATTAGGCAAGACATGGCACAACTTCAGCTGACCGAGGACATGACCCTTGATAGGAAAGTATGGAGGTCGAGGATTAGGGTAGTAGAGTAGGCAGTCTAGAGTGCTCATAATAGTAGTATTGGCACGCAGTCTCACTTTATGTTGGTAGTAGGTTTTTATTCCTTACCGTTGTTTTCTTTCATTATTCCTTACTATCTTATTGTTTTTATTCTGCTTTTATATGGCTTTTTGGTACTGTCCCTTCTTGTCTATATTTTCATTAATGTGGTGCTTATACTTTCTTGAGTCGAGGGTCTATTAGAAATAACCTCTCTATCCTCACAAGGTAGGGATAAGGTTTGCGTACACACTATCCTCCCCGGACCTCACATTGTGGGATAATACTGGGTATGTTATTGTTGTAGTATAAAGCAACTCCACTAAATGTATTTACAAGACATACTTAGGAAAAAGAAACGACATCAACTAATTCAACGGTATGCATCAATTTTAAACTAAATGCAATAATTCCACAAAGCAGGATTTATCCAAGCACAACCTTATATAAACTAAAATTATCATTCCCATGGTGAGAAACATTCCTCTTTCTTTTGGTTGAGCAAAGATGAAGTATTTAGGAAATAGTAATTCAATTGAGTTGGCCATTAGTAGTTAAGCAGAAGTGGCATGTTCCTATACCACTTGAGAATTTTTGCACATATGCTAATAAGTCTAACATTGAGATTTACAAATAAATCCACAGTTGACACTATTTGTCACGACCCAAAATTCATTATATGCGGTGATGGCGCTCAATATCGCCGTTAGGCAAGTCAACGGCGAACGTGAAGGCCAACTTTCCAGCCCCAACAAATCCCCCTTTGCGATCGTGAACCCATCAACGCGATCGCGATGCACAATTTCTCTCAAGCTTTAGATACTCTTCGCGATCGCGTTCCTTTATCTGCGATCGTGATGCTTACCAGGAACACCAGAAACCAACAATGATAAAAACAAGGAGAATTTGTCCGAAACTATCCAAACTCATCCCAAGGCTCAAAATGCAACGTATAACATCAAAATTACTAATCGACGATCAAAATCCTTCTTTTAACTTTTAAACATTCAAACTTCGCTGAACGCGTCTGAATCATACTTCAACATTCTGGAATGACGCCAAATTTTACGCACAAGTCATAAATCACAATACGAACCTATTCCAAGGCTTGGAATCCCAAACGGACATCGATAACAACAAAGTCCACTTCAAATCAAACTTAGGAAATTCTAAAACTTTCAAAATGCCAACTTTTCACTTTAAGTGCCGAAACGTTCCTGGACTATCCGATACTCAACCTGAACATACGCCCAAGTCCAAAACCATCATACGAACCTATTGGAACTTTCAAAATCCCGATTCTGGGGTCGTTTTACTCAAAAGTTAAACATTGGTCAACTCTTCCAACTTAAAGCTTCTGAATTGAGAATTATCCTTCCAAATCAACTCCGAACTTCCCGAAAATCGAAACCGACCACACGTGCAGGTCATAATACATAAAGTGAAGCTACTCAAGATCTCAAACCGCCGAACGACACGCTAGAGCTCAAAACGACCGGTCGGATCGTTAGACTATTTCTTTCTAAATAAAACCACCTTGAGGTGATTACAATATATCAAACTAATAGAGATTATCCTTTTCAAGAATAAACAATAGTACGCCAAATTGACAGGAAAAGTAATTATAAATAAGAAAATAAAGTATTCTTTTCCTTCTATTTCTTAAATTTTCCCGTCCGTAGAAAAAGGAAAAGGAAGGAAATCGCTAGTTCCTCGGTTCATGTGAAAATGTTGAAACCGTTAAAGTAGCTAAGCATATCCCCTAGGCTAACGCTACAAGATGATCACAATTATAGAGATTGTTTTGAAACCTTTTGCCTTGATTTACATGTTATACATATACGTTTCCAGCAAAGCATAGTGAATAAAGTAGACTACTTTGGCATGTAACTCTTCAAGACTGCAGAGCAGATCTAGAGAAGCAGCCAATATATATGAAGTCAAATTGATAAATACTACATAATGAAATACACCATTATCATAACAAACCATCCAGTCATTAATGTTTAGCTTGCAAGAAAATTACAAAAATGAGAACATCAACGACAACTAGCAGCACGCGACCTTTAGTCATTATAAGCAACGGAAAAGAGATTCCCCTAGTTGCTAATGAACAAGTTACAAGTGATCTCTCCTTTCCAAGCTAACGATTGCTGCCCATTGCTCGAGAATCATCACACAGACAAACATACTTTTAACTAGCATGACCAGCCTTCTTGAACTTGACATTATACCCCTCCTAACTGCAAGGAGAAGGAACTCATGATAAGCTGTGACTCCAAGACAACATAAGACAATGCAATATATTAAGTGGGTCAGGGATGTCTTTGACTATGTTTTTAAAATAAAAAACAGAGCACATAAAATAAAGACAGAATTTTTTAGATGGATTAGTGAGCAACATTTGAGTCTTACCGACGACTATTGACGAGTACAGTGAGGCAATCATTCCCCATGCTCTTTTGCTCTTTTTGAATTTTTTTCACAGAATTTTCAGCCGAAGTGCTGCAATTATGCAATTCTATTGACTCCAAGGTATAAATTTCCCCAATGTCTTGAGGGATTTTCTTCAGGGATATGCATTCTTTCAGAACTAGGCATTGCAGTTCTGGAAAGTTAACGCTGCCAGCTTTCCACTGCTCCAGATCTGTCTTATGGATTAGGAGGAACTTAAGTTGATTAAAAATCATTTCATCATTTAATCTCCACCGGCCATCAACAAATCCATTGTCTTTAATTTTAAGCACTTGGAGGTTTGGCAACATTACAATATTCGCCATGTCTTCCCATGGTAAATAAGTACTTTCTAAAGTCAACCTTTTCAGAGATGTAGGCAAAGCAAACTTACTTTGCGGTGGTCGCTCGTAATATCCTCGGTAGCAGGTGATCTTCAATGTTTCAAGTTTATTTAAACAAGAAAGGCTATTTAGCTTCTCCGAAGTCATGTTTCCTTTATCACCATAAATTTTCAGCCTCTTTAGATTTGGAATACCAGAAAACAATTTCTCAGTACAGCAAGAAATATTTAGATATGACAGTTGCTCAAGATTTTGTAGCTTGAAACTAGACCCTTCCTTACTTGATGGAACACAAAAATAAGAGATCCTTTTTACCTCAAGATGCCTCAAAATTTTCATCTTCCAGATCTCCACTGGTAAACCAGAATATTGGCCAAAAATCAAGGTCTGCAGATTATAAAGCTCTGAGACTGAACTGTGAATGTACTCGTGACAGTTGAATATGTGAAGGTATCTGAGATGTACTAATTTTTTTATCACAAGGGGAAAATAATGAAATGTACAATCAAGGATTGCCAACACTCTTAGAAGTTTGAATTGCCCCAAAAGAGAATCGTTATTCAATCCATAGAAGAAGTGCAAAGTTCTGGTGCTACTAGATGATGATGACTCACATAAATCATCGTCATCATAAATGCGCGAAGAGTAACTGTAGCGACGAACATGAAACTTGTTCGCTGAAGGATTAGTGGCTACCTGAATTCTAGAGACCTGCAGGAACTTCTCATCATTAGCTACTCTTAGAATCAAGTCCCGCACCAGATCATGGACACCAAATGTTTTACACTCACCATCCCATCTCCTGCTTCTAACCATTAACAGATTCCTGCTAACAAGATCATTCAAACAATCTCTTCCCACTGCTTCCAAGCTTTTGAGCCCCTTATTCACTAGAAAACCCTCAGAAATCCATAAGTTGATCAAATTAGTAATGTTAATCTCCCTATCTTCTGGAAACACTCCAATGTAAAGGAAACACGGTCTAAGATGATAAGGTAAGTAATTGTAACTCATTGCAAGCACTCCTAGACATATATCTGATTCATTAACAAGAATGTTACTTACACTTTTGGAAACATCTTCCCAACTTTTGCGTGTTCTATCAATTTTAGAGAGATGTCCCGCAACCACTAGAAGGGCTAAAGGTAGTCCTTGGCAATTTTGTGCTACTTGCTTCCCGATTTCCTCTAGTTCAGGAGGACAAAACTGTTGATCTACCCCAAACACCTTGTCATGTATTAACTTCCAACTTTCGTCTAAATTCAAGAGGTGCATCTCATAAGGAGTGCAGTTTGGGTCAGCATGCATAGCCACTTCATTAATCCTACTAGTCAAAATAATTCGACTACTATTCTCGTCTTCTGGAAAAGTTCTTGACACTATATCCCAGATGTTGTCACAGCTCCAAATATCATCCATGACAAGGAGATACCTCCGACACTTTAACACTTTGTATATCTTATCCATTAATTGATCACTATTAGTCCCTTGTTTTATCGGGTCAGCTGAAATACGAGAAAGAATATCCAACAATAGATCTCTAATCCGATATTGCTGAGATACTGTCACCCAAACATGGATGTCAAAGCGATGCCTGACTTCAAGATCGTCATATGCTTTTCTAGCTAGTGTTGTTTTGCCTATCCCTCCCATTCCCAGAATTGGGACAATTTCTCGATTAGACGAGGTCCCTATTAATCTTCTCTTGATTTCCATCAAATCGTCCTCAAGACCCACAACAATGTTTTCTGGATTCAGTTTTGCTACACGTCTGGATGATGAATGACCTAGCAAGGAAGCCTCTACTTGCAGTTCGTCATTTGTAGGATCAACATAGCCTTGAACTTCATTTGTACCAAAACTACTTCCCATCACATTCCTCTCCAGAACATCAATCTTTTCTACAAGTGGAGACAAGGTTTTGTGTAATGCCTCTTCTTCCATTGTTTTACGAAGGACTTTACTCTTACCAAACCTACATCCCATGACCCCCCTCTTTAGAGCTTCAATCTTTTCTACAAGTGTTCTCAATGTCTTTGATAATGCCTCTCTTTTCATTGTTTTATATATCTTTAGTTCGATCACATCTTCTACTTCTTCCACTGCTGTTCTAATCTCTCTATCTAATTCTTCAACTTCTCCACAATGTTGCCTTCTCTTGCTAGTGTTCTCAAGAAAGTCTTGGAAATTTTTAAGACTAACACGGAAAGAGTGCAGCATTTTTGTTGTTTCATCATCACTACTTACCCAATGTGGCTTTTGCTGCACGAGTTCCTCCAATGTTTGTGCAAGAGAAATCACAGCAACATAAGCCATATCTATTAATTGATCCTAGATCAAAAGAAAACATCAATTTGGAGAATAAGTAAAGCAAGAGGCAATATAAAGAGTTCTAAGCCCCTCATCAAATGCTCACCTAGATATATTTAGCTGGAAAGAAACAGCTGAATGCTTCTGCAGATTGATTCTAACAAAACCTGCAAAAGTCAAAATCAGCGCTGCAGTGTGTTGCTAAACAGAGAACGTGGGAAACTATAAGATCAGCATATCTCGAAAATAAACAAGAAATAAAACTGAAAGGTGAACTCTATGATTAAGGTAGCTAAACTTGACTTTTTGAAACCTGAGAAAACAAGCTACGTGGGACGTACGGTCTGGAAAGCCACACAGTAGATAACAAATTGAATAGTCTGTTCAAAGTCATTAATAGGCAATATTAGGACAAACTTTCTCGCAGATCTGAGCCTTAGGGGAGTGAAGTCCGGAAAAGGATATCAAATTAGGGTGTGTTTGGTACGAAGGAAAAAATATTTTCCTAGAAAATGAGTGATTTATCACTTATTTTCTCTTGTTTTGTGAGCTAAAAATATTTTTTAGTGTTTGGTCAGAGAGTATAAAATATTTTTAAGAAAATAATTTTTTATGTTACTCTCCTCAACCCAAAATCTCCATGTTTCCTGTACTCGTTTTGTTGGGAAATAAAACTATTTCAGGAAAAGAAAATATTTTTTTTACATCATGAAAATAAAGTACTCGTTTTGTTGGGGATTTTTTTTTTCTATTTCAGAAAAAGAAAATACTTAATTTGTTTAAATGAATGAAAATATTTTTTTTACATCATGAAAGAAAGTGCTCATTTTGTTAAAATGAAAGAAAATATTTTTAATATATCATGAAAAAAATATACTTATTTTGTTAAAAAAAAGTANGTTGAAAAAGAATTTTAAAAAATATTAAAAAATGAATTTCCGAGGAGAATGTTTTTTAAAATATTAAACTCAATCAAACATGAAAAAATTAAAAAATACTTTCCTTCGTATCAAACACACCCAAATGACGAAAAATACGAAAATAGTTTAAAGAGCTACAGTGGGACAGAACTTTTTATGCAAGCCAACTATGTATCAGATCAGGAAGTGACATAAGTCAATTAAGTTGCATCATCTAACAAAAAAATAGGATAAGAAATGAAGGGAAAACAATTTACTATCAGTAACGCCCAGTAGAATTTTGTAAAGTTTTAAGACTTTAAAGTGCGTCAATGACAATTAAAACTGATGTTTTGCATGCTAAAAGAGACTATGGACTAGCACCACAACACATAATAGTTGATTTTATACCATAGGGCTAGAAATATGACAAACGTTTTTTTAGGAGGATACCTAAGTTTTGTATAGGATAAAATCGGTTTATATTAAATACTCGAATAATAGCGTGACACGTGGAACCGAAGGCAGACGGAAGATGAAGCAAGTGGAAACCAAGACCGAGGACGACAACTTCAATTGGCACCAGGTAGATTCCGAAGGGAACATAATTGATGGAAGCAAACGAATATTTGTCACCAGATGACATTTGTTGAAGAATATTCCTCAGTATTAAATATACAGTCGTTGCAGAGAATTTTGGTATTCATGACTTGTCGTTACTTATTCATCCATGACCTCCATTATTGTCATTTAAGATGGGCTTGATCCTCGGACCTTGTTCCCTATGTATAGCTATAAATAGTGACTTCAACAACCATTGTAAGACACATGAAATCTCTGGCAAAATTTATGCTACATATTATTCTCAAGCTAAATAATACTTTATTTTCTATCTAATATTGTGCTCAACGCTGTCTTCGGACGCCTTGTGAATCAGGCTATCTATTGTTTATTTCGATTTCAACGCTAAGTCTTGTATTTTCATATAATTTATTTATCAATTTTGGATCAAGTCTGTTCACTTGTCTATAAACTACGTAACAAATTCAACTGTACCGTTTTACGGATAAATAATTTGGCGCCCACCGTGGGGCTTAGACAGCTGCATAATTGAGTTGATCCTTATATATATTATTAACTTGTTTGATTCTTTGTTTTATAGCAAAAATCGAAAAAATGGCAGCTAATGATGTCAACATCACACACAACGTTGAGGCGCAAGAAAATCTGCCTCTATATGAGAATTCGATCAGTAACACCCGCAACGAGGAGGATGTAGCAACTCCGATCCATGGCAGGAGCTATCCCCGACATGTACAAGAGACAACTCCAGATGACGATGAGGATGAGCATGTTGTAGAAACAGTAAGGATCTTGAGGGAGCAGCAAAAGGCCATCATGGACCATCTCTCAAGGCAAGACCAGGCCATGACGAAACTCAAGCAGGCATTATCAGGAGCCTCCACCAATGAAAATGGAAGGGGCCCTATTCCTCCCAGCGCTCCTGCAAATCAAATAGCTCAAAAGGTTGATAACAACACCCCGAGGGGTGAGGTCAGCTTCGATAGAGCTGGGGTGGAGGGGGGGACTGGCAACGGATCCGATAACTACAACGACAATGATCCCTTCAAAATCGAACTCATGAGAGTTATGAGGGAAATGAACGAATAGATGGATTAGAACACGAAAGAGTTTCACGCTCGAATAGACCAAATTCCGGGCACACCACCAGTGTCGAAAGGCACAGACTCGAAGAAGTACACACGATTGCCGTTCAAACTGAGCACATCACCAGAATTGATTCCGAAACGGTTCAAAATGCCGGACATACCAAAGTATGATGGAATTTCGGACTCTCAGGAGCACATCACGACCTATACAACGGTAGTGAAAAGAAACGACTTGGCTCAACATGAGATTGAGTCGGTCCTGCTAAAGAAATTCGGGGAAACCCTCACGAATGGGGCCTTGACATGGTATTCACTCCTGCCCGAACATTCGATTTATTTCTTTGAGATGCTCGCAAATTCTTTCATCAAGGCCCATGCCGGGGCCAGGAAGGTCCAGGCTCGGAAGGCGGACATATTCAGAATTTTGCAAGGAGAGTCCGAGTTACTACGTGAGTTTTGATTAGTTTCCAGAAAGAGAGGATGATGTTATCGGCCGTGTCAGATGAATGGGCAGCTGAGGCATTTACTAAAGGGTTGAATCGGATGCTGAAAGAAAGCTTGCTCGAGTTCCAAGCAACCACATGGGTGATTGTCCATAACCGTTATGAATCAAAGAGAAGGATAGAAGATGATCAGCTCGGGTTGCCAACATCAACTAAGGGTTGGGATCTAGAAAGGAACAGGGATAAATCAAAAGATGATTTTGATGTGGATCGGGGGTCTTCTAAGGGCCAATTCTTGCCTTACGAAAGGGCCGAAGAACGCGGCAACAAAGGGTTCCGGTCAGCGGATAGGTTTATCCCCGATAGAAAAACTGACCGCGGCCGGAACAACAGGTCGTTGCAGGTCAAAGAGGTATCAAATTCCTGGGATTCCACTTATCCTAGGTTGCCAGAGTATAATTTCAGTGTTAGTGTGGTGGAGCTAGTATCGGCGATGAGAAACATCAAGGAAATGCGGTTCCCGATGCCAATGATATCCGATCCCAGCCAAAGGGATCCTAATTTGTGGTGGCGAATATCATGGGACTAATGGCCACCAAACTGGGGACTCTCTACATCTTCGCGAGGAAGTGGCAACACTGTTGAAGAACGACCATCTCAGGGAATTCCTAAGCAACCAGGCTAAGAACAATTACGGCCGCAGTCGAGACAACGTAGAACCATCGAGGATAAGGGAAGACCCTCCTCAGCTAACTATTAACATAATTTTTTGGGGGAACGAGATCAGCGGTGTAACTTTCTCGGCATCCAAGAAGACAAAGGTATCAGTGACTCATAGCAAAAGACTCCGGAAAGTCACCAAAGACGACATCACCTTCACGGAAGAGGATGCCGATGTACTTCTTCTGCCGCACAATGACGCCCTGGTAATTTCTCTTAACGTACTAGATTTCAAAATTAAACGTGTTTTGGTTGTGTCACGACCCAAAAAAACCAACCAACCGTGATGGCACCTAACCCAACATGCTAGGTAAGCCAATTTGAATTTACTGAACTTTATTATATTTCCCAAGGACTGGTAGTACAATGAGCTTCTAATATTTAGAATTTACAAAGATGGTATGAATTAAAATACATCAACAGTTTGAAAAATACATGAACATATTAATAATTCTAAAGCTACCAAGAACAAGAGACAGTTATGACCGGGTCACTCAGTCATCAATCTCTCCAGTCTCTCGGGCTCAAAAATGTCATGAAAATTAGCCTAAAATGATGATATAGTGTGTCAATGAATAGCAACAGAGGCTGAGATATGATATGAAATGAATAAATATGACTGAATATGTAATTGCAAATTAAGCAAATAATTCAACAGCAACACGGCTTCTGTGGGTCCCAATAATACCGGCATATAGCTTCAGCATGAATTTTTTAACAAGAGTCTAAGCTCAATTTCTCTAACATGTGGAGAATACATGGAAATGACAAGGTTATTTGACTACACAGCTCAACGAAATTAATTAAGTAACAATTTCTACGGTGTATGCCCACACGTCTGTCACCTATCATATGCATCACCTCCAAACAAATCACATAACACATATAATCAGGGGTTCATACCCTCTGCACCAAGTTTAGAAGTGTTACTTACCTCGAACAAGCCGAATCCAATGTCGAGCAAGCTAAACAATACTCCGAAAATTCCATTCTACACGTATCGACTTTCGAATGCCTTCCTATCTCCTCAATTCAAAGCCAAATGAACCGAAACTAGTCAAACAACGTGCAAATTAATCAAAATACACTCCAATACTTACAATTTAACAATTTATAAAAATTCTCAACTCCGCTCTAAAAGTCAACCAAAAGTCAATAGTGTGGCCCACATCTCGAAATCCGACAAAAATTATAAAATCTGAACCCCCATTCAACCATGAGTCCAACCATACCAAAATTACTCAAATTCGACCATAACTCAGCCTTCAAGTTTTGAATTAAAGTCTATGAAATTTTCTATCATTTTCAATCCAAAACACTAATTTAACGATAAAAACAATAATGGATTCATGTAATTTAACTAAAACTAAGTTAGAATCGGTTGCCCCAATCATTTTGGTGAAATCGCTTCAAAAATCATCTCAATCTGAGGCCCAAATATCCAAATATGGTAAAAGAACCTTGAAGTATATAGAATCTGCCCATCAATTTTTGCATTTGCGAACAAAAGGGCCGTTTTTGCGGCGTCGCTTTTGCGACAAACCTCAACTTCTGCGAAAAGTACTGAAACTCCGCCCTTTCGCACCTTCGCAATATGACCTGTGTAGATGACTCTGAAATAGAGTTTTGACGGTTCTAATAGCTCTTTATGGTTATTTAGACTTAGGA